TTCCTACTACAACACCAGACAATGTTTTAGATGATAAGACACTAATGCCGAGCTAGAAGCACTATACAGTTGAGATGTAAAAGGAAGCCAACTTAAAGGCAGTCCTAAAGTTCAGAACAGTGCTAGAAAAACATGTATGTAGAAAAACCATTAGAATAACGCAAACGGTTATTAACGCTATTTACAGAGAAGTTGTGAAGAAAACAATACTTTTGTACCAGCGCATGCTGTAACTAAAACTGGATTAAAGAATAATAGAGGAGATCAATGTGGTAAGTTATATGATACAAAAGAGAAGGAATATAGAAATATTTAAACAAAGGTATAGCTTACCAAGTAGGCCAGAATTTTCTGAAGCTCCTCAGAAGGTTCCTTCTCTGGAGAATTTGCATCAACAAGGGTTGGGTAAATCAAAGACCATGGAGAAAGTTCTGCCAGCATGAGAAGCAATTTCTCCAACAGCATCCGAACCACTTTATCAGGATGAGAACTTAGACGAGCAAACAGTTGGGTTGCAATATCCTTCAATAATAGAATATAAGATCAGTAATACAGCATGTTCCAATCTCCAGTCAAGGTTTCAGTAACATTATTTACCTGCCACGGTAGCAAAGGAACCTTTAAAAGAGCAGGTTCGAGGATATCCTTTAACTCAAAACCATAGTTAACCAGAATATGCAGCACATAGAGCATGGCCCTCAAGGTGTAACTTACATACTTATACTCTGGCTCATCATCACTGCTGCATAATTGCCCATCAAAACTTTTTGAAGACGAAAATGAAAGATAATTTAGAAAAGCTTGAGCTGCTTGACCAAAGAGAGAAACCCTTCTCCTTCTTAAACACCACCAAACACCAATCAGATTAGTCACCACGGATGCAACTCTGGCTTCGCCTAAGGTAATGTTAGCAGATACAATACAACTCTGCAACTGCGATGTTATTTCATCAGATAGATTATTGCTACTACAGTCCTCTGTCCCAGGAATCCCAACAGTAGTTTCAATAATATCTATAATTTTCTGCCATAAAGAATTCAATTCATTCTCGCTGTGCATGTATTCAGTAAGAGACCAGTTGCATTCCCCACTTCCTTCAAATAACTCTTTCTTGATGTATTCAGTAAGAGACCAGTTGCAATCCCCACTTCCTTCAAATAACTCTTTCTTGTAGGACCTTTCTGAAATAAGTTGTCTGATTATTTCTTTAACACGCAACTTCTCTTCATCAGTTAATACAAATCTTTCTGGTTGGATTTCAGAAGTTAGAATGGGAGAAAATGAACAAGAACGCAGTGCTGTCTTTCCATTTGAGGACACAGATGCTATAGCTTGAGTATAACACCAAGAAGCATACAAAATCCACGATTTTCCCATCTTTGGGCAAAGGAGTGTGGACAACTTTCTAGCGGTTCCCACAAGTTCCTCAATAACAAGACTAATTCCTGACTTTGGGTCCAGGTTACTATCAGACTGGGTAAGGGGCTCTTTGACTGGAGAGGAGATTTCACTCCTTTTAAAATCGGCTGGCATCTCAAGAACAATTTCCTCCCAGTTTTTACCTAAACTGACCCCTTGCAACCATTTCGAAAGTTTTAAGCATGCCTTTGCCTTTAAAACATTCTCACGAGAGTCGGATGCTGCATTTGAAGAAGAAACCATGCATGGATGCACAAATGACCAAAGATTTTTCAATGCATCTTCAGGCTTATCTTTTACTTGCATGAGCAGAATGTCCTCATATTCCACACTGGAGGTGATATAACAATTAAAACCTTTATCGGAGCTAAGTGGGGCATGGATTTTGAGGTAGTTGTTGAGACGGGTTGCCAACACCAAGTTCCTCTGCTTGCGAGCTAAAATCACTAAACTCTTACAAAGTTCAAAAGTAACAGGTGAAGTTGGCATAGTTTTCCGACAAACACGCAGAACTTTTAGCCACAAACTGCAATCTTGATGAACTTGATCACAAGGAAACTGCACCGTTTGGATGTATGTGCTTAATAATGTTTCCATGGGTTGGCCCTGGCTGTCTCCTAGATTGCAAGCCTCTCCAAATGCAGAAATGCAGTACAACTGATTGACATGTGGTGCTGCCTCAACCAGTCCATCAAGTGGCAGAACAGAAAATGTCTCCTCCAACATTAACTTGGCCTTTTGTAACTCATAGGACACTTTTTCCACTTTTCCCTCAGCATGGAGAAGCATTGCCTGCAAAAGCATTTGTTCACTCCTTTGCAAAGCCAACTTGGGATCAAGTGTTAGTTCATTGCTGCTTTTAGGGGTCAAATCAAGGTACGACCATGCTGCCTGGAAATCACCCTCATCAAACCGAGCCAAGGCTTGAATTGAATTAATCTCATTTCCAGCAGTGGTCAAAGCACCAGAATAACTCTTTCCAGCATTCTTCGCACGTACAGTTTGCAACTCCAACAACCAGGATTCTAGAGATTCCCAATCAGAAATAGCCGTATAACTGTCAATAATGCGGGCAATCGCAAATTGCACGCCATCAGAACCCATAGAAGTGAGCGATTCTTCAGTCTGTAACAAATTAATAAAGTGAGCAGCTGCCTTTTCATGCAGCCCTCCTGCCTGATATACAAGCCCGGTAATGAATGAGAAATGTCCCCAGTTTTTTTCATCACTTGGTCCTTGGTTACCATCAGAAAGCAAATAAGAGAATGTCGAGGTAGCCCATTTTTGCAACCCAACCAGTGCATCCGGTTCACGATTCTTACACAGAGCCAGCGCCAAGTTTTGCACAATTCTCAGAATATCTCCAGCATACCTGCCTCTAATATTTTGAAGATTTTCTGTCATCTGGATTCTAGACTTATCTGACAGTGCTGAAGCGACAATGTTGCTAATTTCCTGCAACCGTAATGTGCAGTAATGAACAGTAGAATCATGGCACTGGAGAGCCAGTCCAGCATCAATCATTGGCTCACTTATTCTTGAAAACCACTCTTCACAGACTTTCTTATTTGCCTTAAAGAATAAACAGCTCGACTGGGAAGCATGAGGTAAGATTATTGACCCCTCATATGCATTATATGCATTTTTCTTCAACGCCTCAACGAATTCAAGTAACAATCTCATGGGCAACAAATGAGCATAAGAGCCAATGATATTTACGGCTCCATCGTTTTGATTTGTCTCGAGCTGTAACACATGAGAAACATCAAGAAGCATACGCTCCAAAGCAGCAAAAGTCTGAGTTGGGCCACCAAGGTTAGTTCGAAGACGAGTAGTAATGCAAAATCTAGCTGCTTCATGTATAGCCCACCAGGCACCAGCTAGGCGGTTAACCGAGCAAATCCTTTCAAGTATGTCTTCCTCCACTTTGACGTCCCACCATAAACCATTAGAATCAAAAGTTTCTGCTTCCTCTGATTGAGTCGATGGGTGGTGCTTTTTGTTCCGACAGGTATGAATCAGCCGTTCGATCCATGAAGATAAGGGAACTTTCCATCTCTGCGATATATAACTCAAAATAGAAACAAGCTGTTGGGAGTGGAGCTGCTGAGGCAGTTGCTTAAGGGCAAAGATTTGTTTCCAGAGCAAGAAAAATCTATCAGATTCTGCAGGAACTTGAGGCTGGCATGTACTAACTCCTCGACTATCACGAAGCCCACAAATATATATTGTTACAGGTAAGACATGAGAAAGCAACTTAAGGTACGCATGTTTTATATCCTTTTCCGGGTCACCAAGTTTTTCAAGGATCACTTCAGCAATAATAGGAAACTGAAAGGGGTGGATCAGTTTTGCTTTCAAGAGCATCTCAAGAGCTGTTGCCACAAGTGATCTCACCTCTGGTTCTCTATCTGAAGCAGCGCCTAGAAGCGAGAAAAGCAAGTCCTGGATTATTCTCCCGCATGCAGCAGCTTGACAAGGGTGTGATGGAGCCTTTGAGTTTCTATATGTATTATAAATATTTTCACAAAATTTATCGATCCATCTTAGGGCTTCTAATTTAATTGCCAACGGAGAAGACATATCGAGAGAATTTACAAGAAGTTTCATATACCTCCTCAAGTAACGAAAAACTAATTTGGGGTACAGAGCCCTCACATTTTCATCCTCCACATACGTCCCAGACGATATTTCAGGACAATTGAACCCGCTTTTTTGTTTTATTGCGGAACACTTGCTCTTAAACTCGATTGCTGCGAGCCTTTCTACTACTCTCAGAAGAATAACTTGCAGTGTTACACTTTGGATTGGCAAATGAAAGGGATCAAACTTGTCAGTTAAAAAAGCTACCAATTTTTCTGCTCTGCTCAGGTGCGAAGTGTCGAGCTCAAAAGCTACCAATTTTTCTGCTCTGCTCAGGTGCGAAGTGTCGAGCTCTGCTCGTTCAATCAAACTATCACCTCGTGATAGAGAAACACAGCTTAACAGGACTTCCCAATCAAACTTTATCAACACAACCAGCTCAGATTTAGAATAACTTCTAAGATCTACTGCCAGTTCGAGCTCATCCCCCTCACCTGAAATCTTTTCAAGCATATGCTTCAATAACTGAAGCTCTTCAAATAAACAATCAATTGTGTTCTCTACAACATCATTTTTCACATGTTGAAGTAAAAAGATGTAAGTAGCAGCAGCGCTTCCAGTCACTAGTTGGTTTGGATGCAAACGCAATTGAGAGATGGGTCCATCAAATTGTAGTACCTTATGGACAGATGATGGCACAAGGCCAAGCTTTTGGAGGGACAATAGCTGCAAATTAGTTTTAAGAACCCCATGAACCTGTAAGGAAGAAACTAGGTTTGCATTTCCCACTTCCAAGCTTTGAAACAATGTATCAACTACAATCGGATAGAATGTGGAAAACCTTTCACTTAAAATTTCTGCCAACAATGTCAAGCACCTCCAAGAATCCTCAATCCATTTTGACCATCCAAATTTTCTTCCTATCATAGACAAACATCCCAGTAAAACAGGAACCATCTGGGAAAGGGGTTCGGCTATTTGATGAAGTAAATTTATTTCCAATAAGCCGGATGCTAAGGATTGTAAAACTGTACAAAAGCAAGATAGCAGGGCAAGCAATCTTTTAAATTGCTGAGAAGTACCAGGGCTTCCATCCTGGATTAACACATCCATGTCACCCAAAAACTTTGACAGCAATCCCAAAGAAAATTGCATATTATTCACCCAATGTTTCTGGAATTGTAGGAAACCATCCATAATAACGAGCTTGTTGGGTTCTGTAATATCCGGTACCATTGCCCACCCGAGAAGTAGATCAACAATGTCCATGAAGTGGGGCTGGAAGCATCTAAAAAACTTCAACGAAATCATTGTTAACACACTAAGAAGTCTTGGGAGTAAACTCATAGAGGTTCTCTCATCCTCAAGGAGTTCTTGGCCAGCTTTAAGAATTGGCAAAGCATATCTCTCCACAGCTCCAACCTCTCCAACATTAAGAAACTCGTGAAGGCTCTCTAAAGCTAGTTCTGAAGTTCCATTGACAATATTCCTTAGAGATGGCAAAGACCACCCAATAAACCGGTCAATCAAACTACCAAGTATAGCATGGTTCTGCCTCCCATTCGCAGCTATCAAGAATGAACACAATAGAGAACACAGAGCTCCATATGCTGTAGCTGCTGCACGGCGCACCGAATACGACCTATAGCACAAGTTCAAGGCAAACAAACAAATTAGATAAATGTTTTATAAACAAAATGATAATTGTTTTTATAATTATTATTATTATAAATTAAAATATTTCTATATCGATAACCAAATAACCAATCATTTCATTAAAGAAAACAAAAAGATTGTATAGTATCTAATCATGCAGTGACAAAATACCATTACTATATTGAATGGGATAATGAATAGATACTTTCACCAATCAAAAAATGCAGAAACCGAATGTACATACTTTGGAAATATCCCATAACAATCCATAAAACATGCGTATTCAACAAACCATTCCCCATTGGAGACACTTGACGTCAAAAAATCGGTAACTCTTTCGGTCTTTCCTCAATGCTAGACAATCTCTTTACATTAGCCTCCTGTATTACATCAACTTTTTTCGAACTCATGGTAATATTTCAGAAGCTTGTTCCTTAATAATGACTAGACTAACAGTTGACCAATAGACAGAATTCAACAGAACATACAATGTAGAATCCAGTTTCACAACTGCTGTACTTATATCCTCGTAGAGAAACTTAAATGCTTCAATCTGCCGATGTCAACTGTGCTTTTACAAATAAAGAGGTGACATCATGTGTCTGGTTATTGTACCGAATTTCCCATTGAGCATGCAGAATGCTGATGTCCACGCTCAACTACGTCCATCTTATATCGGCACTTACAAAAATCAAGGTATTTCTGATCTTCTTTCTTAAATCTCACATTATTCCTCTAACTCTTCTGCCATTTATCAGCTACAACAAGTATTCGGTCACTCAGCTATATCCATCTTATATTGGCACTTATGATCATCTAGGTGTTTCTGATCTTCTTTGTCAAATATTATCTTCTTCCTACAATTCATCTGTAATGTATCAGCTATAACAGCTATTAGGTCTGGTTCATCTAACATTCATCTACCAGCATAGCCTCTTTGTGACAATACAACATATATCCTGATGGGAACTACTCGCATACAAGCAATCCAAGCTGCACTCATTTTCAAGACTTGACCAGATAATATGTGCACAATTCATACATACGAAAATAAAGACCAGATAATATGTACACAATTCATACATACGAAAATAAATTATAAAATCCTCTATCATAATCCTGTCATGAAATTCACAAGAGATTGAGTGATTACTTATCAGTTAGTAGCTGAGAGAAACCCTGAGCGAGGTAGGAGGCGGAGTGCGTGACTAGGAGCGAGTTGTGCGGATAGAGTATTGCGCGGTGGAGGGAGTTGATGGCTGCTAGACGCTGCGATTCGTCTTCTTCGGGTGAGGGGGTAACAGAGCCGGCGGAGGAAGAGACTGAAGAAGAAGAAGTCGCCGGGGCTTTGGAGGAAGCGTCTTTGGGTAGTGCCGCCGTAAGGAGCGCCACGAGCTGCTGCTGCTGGTGTTGGAGGCCTTGCATCGTGCCTCCACCGCATGCCTCTCCTTCTCACTCTATCTCTACTCCTTCGGCTCGGCGAGCATCGCGGTGAGGGT